GGAGAAGGTTTTCGTCCAGGATATCCCTGTACTTGGCCGCATTCATCTTTCCCTCGATTGCAACCAGTCGTCCTGTCCCTGCAGCTGAAAAACACCCCCACAGCATGATGCTGCCACCACCATGCTTCACTGTTGGGACTGTATTGGACAGGTGATGAGCAGTGCCTGGTTTTCTCCACACATACCGCTTAGAATTAAGGCCAAAATGTTCTATCTTGGTCTCATCAGACCAGAGGATCTTATTTCTCACCATCTTGGAGTCCTTCGGGTGTTTTTTAGCAAACTCCATGCGGGTTTTCATGTGTCTTGCACTGAGGAGAGGCTTCCGTCGGGCCACTCTGCCATAAAGCCCCGACTGGTGGAGGGCTGCAGTGATGGTTGACTTTCTACAACTTTCTCCCATCTCCCGACTGCATCTCTGGAGCTCAGCCACAGTGATCTTTGGGTTCTTCTTTACCTCTCTCACCAAGGCTCTTCTCCCCCGATAGCTCAGTTTGGCCGGATGGCCAGCTCTAGGAAGGGTTCTGGTCGTCCCAAATGTCTTCCATTTAAGGATTATGGAGGCCACTGTGCTCTTAGGAACCTTAAGTGCAGCAGAATTTTTTTTTGTAACCTTGGCCAGATCTGTGCCTTGCCACAATTCTGTCTCTGAGCTCTTCAGGCAGTTCCTTTGACTTCATGATTCTCATTTGCTCTGACATGCATTGTGAGCTGTAAGGTCTTATATAGAGAGGTGTGTGGCTTTCCTAATCAAGTTCAATCAGTATAATCAAACACAGCTGGATTCAAATGAAGGTGTAGAACCATCTCATGGATGATCAGAAGAAATGGACAGCACCTGCGTTAAATATATGAGTGTCACAGCAAAGGGGGTGAATACTTAGGACCATGTGATATTTCAGTTTTTCTTTTTTAATAAATCTGCAAAAATGTCAACAATTCTGTGTTTTTCTGTCAATATGGGGTGCTGTGTGTACATTAATGAGGAAAAAAAATTAACTTAAATGATTTTAGCAAATGGCTGCAATATAACAGTGAAAAATTTAAGGGGGTCTGAATACTTTCCGTACCCACTGTATGTGTGTGTGCTGTTTATATTTATACACACACATACAGTACATGTATATATTTAAGAAATATTTACATGTGTGTGTGTGTGTGTGTGTGTCTATATATATACAGTATAAGATTGATATTTTATATATATATTTCTTAAATATATACGTATGTGTGTGTATGTGTGAGTATATATATATATATATATATATACAGTACAAGACTCATATTTTATATATATATATTTCTTAAATATATACGTGTGTGTGTGTGTGTGTGTGTATATAGTACATATACAGTATATAATGTAAACAAACTTTTATTTTGGATGCGATTAATTGCAATTAATCGATTTGACAGCCCTAATTTAATTTTGAAATACTCCATAAAATCAGCGTGTTCTAATGCACAATGGACTTTATTTATTATTACTTAATAATTTCATTATTATTAATTGAATCATTATTTTAATCATTCTTTATTTGCTTATTTTGTTTATATACTATATTCAATAAGCTTTACCCTACTGTATTTAAGCTACATTTTGTCATCATTTAGAACAATGAACCCACTGTATACTGACAAACATCTTTTTTCGAATTGTTTTCCTTGAAAGATGTGCTTGTGATATTTTTCTTTCTTTTCTTTACATTGTTATGTGTGACTTGAGTGTCCAGATGCGTTTTGGGGTCACTGCGATCTGAAACTATGCATCAGTTAAAAAAAATAATAGTCAAAAAAGTGCAAGATAGCGGTGTAGAAATCATTTGATAAGTGTGTGTGTGTGTGTGTGCCGCATTAAAGTATTGGTCTTTGATAACCACATGTTTCCTCTCACAAAGTAGGCCAATCGACATAAAAAATGGTAAAAGTATGTCACGTATTGCTCTGGCCCTGGTGTGAGATCTATGTGCTCTGATGCAGGACCGAATTATATAGTGTATCCCACCTTCACTGGTTGCTTGCTGTGGAACACATGAGCTCTCCATGGAGACATCACCTGTCAAAGAACAAAAACACAAGAGCACAGAACTGAATAAATGAGTCTAGTGCCATCTGCTGGTCAACACAAGGAGCTTGTAACAAAAGGCTAGCTACTTCCTTTCAGTTATACCCTCAAATCTGTTTTCATTTTTTGTGGCTTTTAGTCTCATGGCTCAGCAACCTGCCTGGAAACGTTGTTTTTGGTCTGAATTTTATAGCTATATATTTTGGCAAAACCACAAACGACAATATTCTGGCCTTTTCAGTGCTTTCTCTTTCACATCACACAGAGAAAGCACGCAGTCCTTCAGTGATAAATGACGTTTGACATACGAACAATGCAGTGCTGACTGTGCAAGCAGAAGCTTGCTCTGATGCTCTGCAGTGCATGAGACATGCACACTTCATCAGCACATCTCTACACCAGCAGCAAACGCTGCTTATACTGTGTGGAGAAAGATAAACTGACTGTTACCACAGTCAACAGTAAAATAATACAGTATTACAAGTAACAACAGGAAACAGAAACAAGATGCTTTTTGGATCATCTCAAATCATGCTGGAGAACATGATCAAGTTTTACACAAACTTGTGGAGTTCATGCAGCTGCTTACATCAAAAGGGCTAGAAACATTTAATACAAACATTTTGAAAATAATTTTTTCCTCTCATATTTCTTACAACACAATTCTTATAAAAAAATACAAGAATTAAACTTAATTTTTATTTATACATTTTTACATTTTTTATTTGTCACCCTTTAAAAATGTTAATTTTATATATATACCTTTTTGGCAAATTAAATACTAAGAGTAATGTGTGTGTGTGTGTGCGTGTGTGTGTGCGTGTGTGTGTGTGTATATAAAGAGATCAGATGCAAAAGCCAAAAGTGCCATTTGAAATTTTCTTCTAAAATTGTAATTTTTCTCCTATGTTTATGTTCAGTTATTTTACTTTAATGGCAATGAAAAGAACCTATTCATTGCCATTAAAGTGAAATTACTGAACCTACACATAGGAGCCTAATAAAAATACACATTTTAGAAGAAAATTTCAAATGGCACTTAGAGGCTTTTGCATCTGAACTCTTCATATTCATATATATATATGTGTGTGTGTGATAACATTTAATTAAATGAATTTAATTAAAATTCTGAAAAAGAATTAACACAAATAAAAGGCTGACATACCAAAACTCTGCTCTCTGCTCGTCCCTTGTACTGGTTGAGCTGCACCAAACTCATGAACTGAACTCTCTGTGGCTTCAGATACTGAGTTATGCATTCTGGAAATCAAGCACATACAACCATTTATGCAGAACTGCACATCACATAACTTTAAAAGTAATCTTAGCACCGTACTGTACTGTAGAGATTGTATAGTCTGAAAGAGCTACAAACAAGTGTCTCATAGAATAAACAAGCCTACTGGTTATTATTTAGTCATATTTCAGTTGTGTGTTCTGAAAGTATTGTTTAAGCACCTTACCTTTGAGGCAAAATGGGACCTCTGTCTGCGCTGCCATAATGTCTGTGGAAACAGGGTGAAGACAGGACAGCGCTGGCAGCTCTCATGTAAGTGTGTGACACACTCTTGAACACACACACACATCCTGCTGCTTTATGATTCATGCTTATGGGGGAAAACCACAGTTTGAGAGTACAGGTCTGAGACAGGATGTGACACCTGAACTGCATGAAGAGCATCCTATCAGAGTTACTTCATAATGTGCAGTTTCACAGATCACAGCAATCATTTAAACCCCAATGCAAGTATGTCAATGTTTGCAAATGAGGTTAAGATAAGCTTCAGTCTGTGGTACACGTGAGAATGATAACACTTATTGTCAAATCCCTGACCTATTTAAACGATAGAGATTTTGGTGTCAGCTTTGCAGAGATGTATAGAAAGGCAAATTTATAACCCTTACTTTTTAATGTATTGATGGCTAGGTGGCTGAGGAAAATAAAAATGGCTAAATTGCTAAATTGACTTGTTTTTACTCAACATCTCCCTCTAGTGGAATATTGTTCACTTTGAAACTTTGGCAACCCTTTCTGACTAAAACTGTACCTATATAGTGTCACAATTTGATATATACAGGAAAATCGTGTTTGCACTGCTGAAAAAAACATCTAAAACTAGCCTAAGCTGGTTTTAGCTGGTCAGCAGGCTGGTTTTGGCCACTTCATTAGCTGGTGAGGCTGAGAGACGAGCTCAAACAACCATCTAAAACTAAACTCAGACCTGGGAGACCAGCATAAACCAGCTAAAACCAGCCAACGGTTTTATTTTAAATTTTTAAAAAGCACTACCCAGTTGCAAGACTTTTTTTTTTTCTTTAAAAATATTCTCTTCCTGCAGCATATATATATATATATATATATATATCAGATATTGGAGCCAATCTTTTAAATAACTGGCTCTGTCAATTAGCACAATTTCTTCTTTTGATTGGTCTGGGCTTATGCGTCTCCTTGCCAAAATTGCCACAAACAATGCTTATTTTCTCTCAAAAACTGAAGCGCATAAACGGTCAAAACATAAGCGCATAAAAAGCCAACAACCAGTCAGTTTCAAAGTGAAATACAAAACCTGCGCTAACTGAAATCAAACAAGTTGACAAAAAGATCGAATCCAAGATTTGGATGGCATAATGAGAAATTCACACATTTTTAAAGGCTGCTCATTTTTGACCAGGAACAAATTAGATATTTTCAGCACAGTAAAGGGTTAACATTTCAGACGCTTGGCAGATCTAAATCTCTTATATGTTTTTAACATCCAGAGGTGCTTATTAAAGCAAAAGAACCAGGAGTCAAATTGAAATTACTTAAATGCAAATACAAGATTCATTTTATTTCAACTTTGTAACTAGGTAAAGAATGAAACGGTCTGTGATTCAAGTAGCATACAATTGTATCAAATTCCAGAAATAAAATGAAGAAAAACAGACATTAAATTAGGACAATATTTTTTTATTAGCTGTACAGCAATACATTCTCCACACCATCTTACATCATACGACCTCTATACCCCACCCAGCCATAATAAATGTCTTTATAAGGTTGGTTTTCTGACCATTGTAAAATTCACACAGTACAGCTAGGTTAAAAAAATAATAAAAAAATGCATTAACCTAGAATTTTAAGAGCTTAAAAAAAAGAAAGCAATTTAAATGCAATTACATGTTGGAGGAAAACTTCATTCTGAATCAGAAAAACAAATAATCCGAAATAAGGACATTGCTCTTTTGAACAAGTGACAAACTTTTTACAAAATATCCTATCCAAGCTTCCCCTTCTAGAAACAGTTCGTATCAAAATAGCTTCCTTGAACACTCGTATTAAGCTTTTTAAATTAAATGTGGTCTGGAAAAAAAAAAAAAACTATTGTAAACTTAGTCTCCTTTCAGAATCCCATGAAATTATTAACTCGGGTCACAGAGTTTAATATTACGGATGGTTGTTGGGAACACGACCACATCGAAACAGATCCAAATGATTGGAGACCTGCACGTCGCTGTACCTGCCCAGTTCAGTCCCTTTTCCTCCTTTTACAAAAGCTAGAACAAAATCCGACATGGAAGCCTATTCGTCAGGTGGTACAATATTAGAGCCACTCTCTCAACGCCTTTAAGCAGTGGTAAAAAGATGAAGCAACCCCTCCACATCAAGCGAGTTGAGCAGACCAAATGCAACGATTCAAGCTACAGAAGGACAGAAAGAACGGGGTTATACAGCCTACATGATTCTTCAGGCTTTTATTTTTTCCCCCACAAGTAATTTGAAAGCCTTCAGTGGCATGTTTCCAAACAACTACTGTTAAAAGCCATTGCCCTAGCATTCAAGGTCATCAATTCACTAGAAAAAGATTAAAATGTTCATAATAAAACAGGAAAATAAAAATTATTTACAAGCAAGACTAGCCAAGATGACCTTTGTGTATAACTTTAATCACCGTTAGGCGCAGCTTCAGGGACCGTTAGCTGCACTGTTTCTACACCAGCCTCGACAGCCTCCACTTCCTCCACCACTGGCTGGGCAGCTGCATCAGCACCCTCAGGCTCCTTCTTCACGATGATGTTCTCAATGGCACCTGTGCTTTCATCTTCCACCTGAATAATGGCAGCAGCTGCTAGGAGAAGCAGAGAGAATAGTTTAGCTAAACCTAGGTAAAAGGAGATTCTGAATGGTTTATCTTAATATGCAGCAGCGCATAAGTTACCTGTGGTGGTGTTGGCGACAGACTTGGTAGGAGAAGCCTTGGGTGCGTTCTTAGGGGGTCTGCCGCGTTTCCTCTTGACGGGAGGTTCGGCTGGTGCAGGGATGGGAATGCTGGGTGGAGCCTGTTCCACATCCATCTGGTCATCATCAAGAAACTCCTCATCTTCATCTTCATCAATGTCATCAAGGTCAGGTTCTCCATGCTCATCTGAGATATTTAGGTCACAGCGTTACAATATTCATAAAACAGTCATGATTTTTATTTAGCACTTTAAATCATATTCATTCCATTCTTAAAATCCACACACACATATATATATATATAATCCACATAATCAAGTTCTTATTGACAGACTTCATGAATGGATTTGTTGAACTACTAATACAACCACCAGCATAGTAGCAGAACTACAGCAAAGCTACTTACCGCTATCTTCATCATCATCCTTTCTAGAGCGCATCTTCCTCTTTCGGCCTCCACGGCCCCTTTTGGTTGGAGCTCCATTCTCTCCTTCAGCAGAATCCATACCAGTGCAGTTCTCTGTATGTCTGGCCATGGTATTCTGTTAAAAATACACGCCATTTGTTATATGCTGTTTACCGTAAAGGCACCCTGAAATACATCTAACTTATTTCAAAATACCGTACCCTGCGAGTGAAGGTCTTGCCACACTTGGTGCATACAAAGGATGTGGGTACAAAACTGGGGTCGTGATAGCGCCTAAAGTGCATGTCCAGCAGCTGTTTCTGTCTGAAAGTTTTCTCACATTGGCTGCAGGCATATGGCTTCTCCCCAGTATGTGTGCGCTTATGCATGACCATGTGACGCTCCTGTTAGCAAAAACACAGAGTAAATGTGAAGCAGAGTTTCCTACACCGTGATTAATAATGCATATAAAAATTTAATTTGGAGAGAATTTTTCATGAGCTGTCTGACCTGACGGCATGCATAGTCACACTGATCACATTTAAAGCGTTTCTCATTTTTGTGGGACTTCTGATGCTGGATGAGAGCATAGCGCTCATGGAACACTGCATCACAGTAGCGGCACTTCCTGCCCTGCTCAATGTAGGAATGCTGCTTACGGAGATGCACACCTGCAAGGGACACAGCAATTGTGCAAACATCAATACACCCCAAGCATGTTCAAAGTTGGCATTGCTACTAAAAAGCACATAAGTAACCAGCAGCAACAACTACAAAGCCGTAAATGCTTAACATCGCAGTTTTACCAAGATCGCTCTTGCGGGCAATAACAGTGTCGCAGTGGGGGCAGTGAAATTTCGCCACATTTTCTGTGTGCTTCTGCAGTATGTGCATCTTCATGGTACCACTCTGGGTAAAACGTGCATGACAGATATAGCACTCATAGGGCTTCTCTCCTGTAGAACAGGGGAAAAAAATAATCCCAAAATCATGTCAATTCTATTTATCTAACCGATTTAGCTGACAAGAACACAATCTGAGAAAAACGGTAAGTTCTGCTGACCTGAGTGTGTCCTCATGTGTCTCTTCAGCTTATAGGTATCTCTGCTAGCATAACTGCACAGACTGCACTGGAACGGACGCTCTCCAGTGTGGGAGCGAATGTGGCGCTTCAGCTTGCTAACCTGCAAAGTTTCAAGGCTTAGGTCAATTTGGAAGCAACTTTCCATGGAGAAAAAATAAATCAACATGATACTCTCAGACCAACCTCTACACTGGCATAGTCACACATGGAGCACTTGAATGGTTTCTCGTGAGTGTGCTTGTAGCGTCGGTGGCGCACCAGCTCTCCACTGGTGACGAAGGCCATGTCACAGTCAGTGCACTTATGTGGTCTGGTACCTGTCAGAAAGAGAAAAAAAGTTAGTTTCAATTTCTAATTCACACAAGATAGCCTATAATTTCTAATGCACTTGAGATCATGTACCTGTGTGGGTGTTGAGGTGGTTCCTCAGCAACGTCACAGTCCTGAAGGCTCGTCCACAAAGATGGCACTTGTGAGGCCTCTCATCCGTGTGGCTCTTCATGTGGCGGTCCAGATTGGAACGGCGCGGGCAAGTGTAACTGCACAGCTCACACTGGAATGTCTTCTTAACACCTGCACAAACACAGCGATTTAGACCCAACACCGATCTGATACTGACACTATAATGTGCAAGTGACAAGCAGACATGCAAGTGTCTGTTCAATCTGTGTTTATCGCACGTTCTCACCTTTCTTTTTGATTTTGGTTGGTTTGGGTGGTTTCATGTTACCCACAACTTTCTCAGCATTGACTTCAGAGAGCAGTCCCTCCTGCTGCTCCTCCTCAAAGTCATACACAGACACATCCATGTCTTTATCGCCCTCTGTGTTGTAACGCAGCTTGCTTTTCTTAGTCTTCTTGGACTTTTTAACAGGGGGTGTGTAGTCTGGATCTTTGGACCAAGCGGGGTCTTCATTTTGGGCTTCAACCATATCCTCCTCCTCCTGCTGTGGAGGCTGATCATCTTGGGCCTGGAGCTCATCTTGCTCCACAGTTTCCACTTCTCCATTTGCACCCACCTTAACCACCTGTAGATAATGTAACATTTAGATTCACCAGAAAGTCATAGAGAATCGCATTTGAAATGTGTAGCCTGATAAAAAAATATGACCAACCTGGAAGCCCTCAGGCAATGGCAGGGTGTGACAGATGACCGGCTCCCCATCTTTAGGCATGGCAGTGGCATCCACTAGCGTCCCCTGCAGCGCTTCTACGGTGGTGGCAGTGACAGGCACAGCTGAAACAGGTACCTGCACCAGCTGCAGCTCTCCCAAGCCCAACTGCTGCTCCTCCATGTTCACCACCTGGAGGGTGATGATCTGAGTGTCATCGACAGTGGTGACCGTGGCTTCATGGGCGGCACCAGCAACACCAACAGCAGCCTCCATGACTTCTGTCTTCATCTGGAGCAGGGCAGGGTCCAGGGCGTCCATCACCATCATCTCCACGCTGTTGACAGCCTCCACCACAGGCTCTCCTTCAACCTGGGCTTGCTCTAACCCAACAACCTGCAGCAATTCAGCTCCCACTTCCTCATCTTCTCGTCGCCTTTGGTAGGTCTTACATTCCTTGGCCTTGAAAGCATCCCCTGCATCTTCCACCACTGACTCAGTCGTTCCCCCTTCCATGGGTAATACCTATACCGATTTCAAGCAAAAAAAGTTAGAATGCAGCACTAATTGTAGGATGCTAAAGTTTTCCTACCTGACTGCAATTTGGACTGTGTTTGTTTACTTGCACATACTGAGTAGTGATCGACCGATATTGATTTTTTATAACCGATACCAACTATTTGTATGTTTATGTGCCCAATAACCGATATGACTGCACATACACATAAGAACATACTTCACTTTGGTTTTTCCTCTTTTCAGTCATCATCTTTTTTTAAAAGTGTTGAAAATGAGCAGTCTTTCATGTTAAATTTAATCTTTAGATTACAACAATAAAAAACATTTTATTTATAAAAAGCATCAACAGCAACTAAACACTAATATTAACAATAAGCAAAATAAATATAGAATGTCTAATGTTTTCAAATGGAGAAAATAAATAAAGGACAGGAGTCATAACTTCATTTTAAACTACCGTTATAGTAGGTTTATAAGCGGTTTAATAGCTACAGAGTCAAGAATAATTCACTGGATAATGTTAATTCACTGAATAATATTCTCTGGAATATTGGAATATAACAAACAAAACATCGTATTTTATTGCATTTCTCAACTGGAATGTTATATCAGAATTATTAATAATGTTTTTGTCCCTCTAGGTTATTAAATGCCTGCTGACAGTGCGGTTTATCTATGCATTTACACAGAACTATGCACAAACTGCGATCGCTCGTGGAGATAATTAATTTCCGTAGAGTTGTATTTAGATGTTTATTAGCAAAATAATGGTTATATAGTAAATGTTAATACAATTTAGGGTGTTTTAAACAAGTGAATCTTGCAAAAAAATTACATGCGGTGGCTGTGCTGGAGCTATTCCTGAGCATTAACCGCATCAATCCGTTGAATGAACAGCAATATGAAAGCGGCTTCACGAGACTAATGATGAGCAAATACACAACAGAGAGAGAATTAAATTCAGCGCTTTTATTTCCAACATGCGCTCATACATGGCTGCATATTTAATTCAGGCAATGTTACATCTTTATTGGGACAGGACTAGGGCTGGGCAAAAAAATCGATTTTTCGATATATCGTTTTTTAAAATGTGGTCGATTCAATATCGATTCTCAAAGGCCACGAATCGATTTTTTTCAATATTTATTTCCGCTAACATTGAACATAAGATTTACGTTAATCTTATTACTAGTCTAATCCACTAGATGTCACCCCCTTATTTGCCTTGCGCGATGTTACAACGGAGAGTCCGTCATTCATTCATTGCTTAAAATGGCAGATCCAGGGCTCTACAGTGCGACCATTTCATTCGCATTTGCGACTGAAAACTACTGCGTGCGACTATAAACATTTTTTTAGGAGCACCAGTGCGACTGACCAAATCTTCATCATGTAATGCATCTAATTTGTGCATAAATGGCTGTTATGTTAAATAAAGTTTACTAACTACAGCAAATCAAGTACCTGCACCATGCCGTTGTTGTCGTCTCGTCTCCCCTCAGACGCGCTGCAATGGCGATCCTGCGCGCAATTTTCAAAACACCCACAAGATGGCGGCGTTTATCGGTGAATCCGATATTACAAAACCGATATCAGATTAAGGTAAAATGCTTAAATATCAGGAAAAATATCGGTAAATCGATATCGGTCGATCTCTAATACTGAGACAGTCTGCTATCAGCCTTACAAATGGTGAACAATAGAGTTGAGTCGGCATTTCCATAGACATCCAAGACTTCTGTTTGTATAGCATACTGAGAGTTTACCTGTATCAAAAATGAATACTTCATCTCTCTACACCTGTGCCTCCACCACTTTCTGCCTCCGATGAACGAACTACCTGTCTCAACTTTGCTTCTTACTACCTAGCTCAACCTGTAGGGATGCAAACAAATCAAGTCATCAATGCCCAAAACAAACTTTTAGTATACATGTCATACTAGTCAAAGCTTGATTGACACCCATTTGTGGTTATTTTTTGGC